CTGCCATCTCCCACCCCACCCCCAGTGTAACAGCTGCCTGGCTTCTTCCCTTCCTCGACGTCCCTTTAGTGAGGGGGGGGGGGGAGAATCGAGACGCATTTCCTAGCATGGAATGGGACTGTTCTTCTCCTGCCCTTCGCCCGCCTATTTTGCCCACAGGGTTTCTCCCCCAGAAAAAGGCGCTAAAGGGGCGGCGGGGAAGGAAACCAGGCAGGGTGCCTTTACCATTGGGGTGGGGTGGGTGGTGTTTTTTTGCGCAACAGGGAACAGGCAGGAGGGGGTGATCGCATTGCTGGCCTGCCACTCTTTTTGCGGCGGGCTCTTTGCACAGTAGGGAATGGAGCATGAAGCACTTTGCTTGGCCTGCAGCTCTTTTTGCGGCAGGCCCTCTTTTTGCCCTGGATGCTGTACCGATAGGTGGTACAGTGGTAATGGCGGGGACCAGTTGCGAATGCGCTTAAATAGTTGGGGGCGGCCTTATTATGGCGCATGCTCTGAAAAGCCCGATTGGGCTTATTAGCAGGGCGTGCCTTATTTTCGGGGAAACACGGTAACAATCCAGAAATCACCCAGAAAAAAAAAGAAGAAACGTAAGTGTAAGTGGAATGTAGTAGAAGAGCTGTGGTAGCACAGTGGTTAAAATGCAGTATTGCAGGCAGATTGATAGCAGTTCAATCCTGACTGGCTCAAGGTTAACTCAGCCTTCCAAGGTCGGTAAAATGAGGACTCAGATTCTTGGGGGCAATATGCTGACTCTGTAAACCACTTAGAGCAGAGATGTCAAACTCAAGGCCCGGATGTGGTCAGATCTGGCCTGTGGGGCTGTCCTGGAAACAGCGAAGGACTGGCCCCAGCTTGGGGCTGATCTAAAACTTGGTGGTGACCATCCAGGCCAGAACGGTCAGCCTTAGATCCGCGGGGCAGCCCTAGAGCCAGCAAGGGGCTACCCCTGCCCCACCCCCTGGGCACGGGCACAGGACTCAGCAAGTGTCTGGCTCCTGGCTTCCCTGGTGATCATCTTGCCTCGCATCCTGACTGCATTCTGAGCTTTCACTCAGGACGCCAGCCCCGCACACTCGCCGCCTCCTGTGCATGCGCTCAAGGGGCGGAGCTGAGGTGACAGGGGCAGCCTCTTGCTGGCTCCAGGGTGGCCACATGGGTCAGATCTAAGGCTAACCATGTTCCGGCCTAGATGGCTGCCACCAAGTGGTAGATTAGTGCAGCACCTGCACCAGCACCTCTATGCCCCACTCTCCGGCCTGGCCTCTCAGCCTGCGAAGCTTCCCTTTCACCGGGACCTTCGCCCCGCATGGGAAAGCCATGGCCACCAGGAGTGCTGCCAAAGGAAGGAAGGAAGGGAGATAGATTATGAGAGGGAGGGAGGGTGTGAGGGAAGTCCTGCCTTAGCACTTGGCCGCCAACAGCCCTGCTGCCCTTTTGCCATCCTCTTGCTCCCCTCCTCTCCTGGTGGTCTCCCATCCTATCGCTGAGTATGCTTTGGTTGCAAAGTCAATGTCAACTCATTAAGCATTTCCATGTCTGTTATCGACTTGCCATGGTGAGCAAAGGGGGGAGTGCATTCCACGCATACCTTTGGCTAGAGTCAGATCTCAGATTATCACAGCAGGCTTGTGAGGCTGCTACAGTACCTGTTGTATAATATGATTTATGACACAGACTGAGTGGAGGGGGGGAAACAGGAGCAAAGTTCAGCTGTAACTTACATGAGGTCAGATCTGACTGCAATGGGGTATTGTCAAAATGTTGTTCCTAATAAATGACTGGATTTCTTTTGAAACTTGGCTCGAGGCTCATGAATTAATTAGGGCATCTTTCAAAAACCTGACAGCCAGGTGTCCTCGCAAGAAGGAGTGGACCTCCCTCTGACCCACACACTTTGCCCTCCCGCACACACCATGAGCAACCTGGCCAAGGAGAGTGAGCACAGCAGCAGAAGCCTCGAGGAGGAGGGAAACACAGCTGAGCACCCCCTTGGGGAAGCAGGGCTGGGCTGCGCTGTGGGGGAGCTTGAGGGTTGGGCTGGGCGCTTGCCCTTCGCTGCCCAGGGCTCCAGGCAGCCTGCGCTGTCATCCGAGGGTCCTCTGTGTGGCCTGAGAGGGATGATGTGGCTCCTCTGGTGGACAAGAGTTTGGCACTCACCCTGGTCTCGCCTTCCTCTGCTGGAGACAATGGATCCCCCAGCCCTGCCCAGGCCACCACAGGAACCCTCCAATGAGTGACATTGAGCTGGCCACGCCCACCCCTCACCCTGAGGTCAACCACAACCCTGATGCTGCTCTCAGTGAAACCGAGTTTGATACCCCTGACTTAGAGAGAGAGCTGTAAAGAACTGTGAAGCAGTATATAAGTCTAAGTGCTATTGCTATAAATAGGGTACTTAAAAAGTGCATGTGTAAAACAAGTAGAAAGAAGATTAAGAATTAATGATTGCTGAATGAATGTGGGTTGACTACAAAAGAAGTAAACTGAGGTGATTTGGTGATATAGAGAGAATGAACAAATGCCAAATTACAAAAACAGTATCTAAAGGAAGAGTGAATAGGTCAAAATGAAGGTGAGAACTACAGAAAGCTGTAGTTGAATGGAGTTAATGATTCTCAAAAACAGAGTTGAGAGATTTAAGAAATGTACAACGGGGTATGTAAGTGGAAGCAGCAACGTTTTTTGCAAAAATAGAGAGGTATAAGGTAATGAAATGGTGTTGGTGAAATTATGTTTAGATATCTTTCCTTTTTTTTCTTATCTCGTGCCTTTGATTTTGTTGGTGTATTTGTTAGCCTTCAAATTATATACAGAGCACTTAGGACTACAAACTTGCGTTCACATTTGGAAATGATAGTAAATCCCAATCAACTCTTAGATGCCCAAATAAGAGAGGAGGAATACAAATTATCTTTACCTGCTGTGCAGATATGGCAAGAAGAATGTGGTGCCCAAGCAATACCATTCACACATGCTCGGTGGTTATTCAGTCTGGCAACTGGTGTACAAGGAACTCTGACATCTAGAATCACCACCTTAGAGGGAAAAATAATTCTAAACGTTATTTCTAAATGTTAATTCTAAAGAAATTATCTTAGACTTTATTTTTATCCTTTCATTACCTAAGTCTCTTAAGTGCTCAGAGCATTCAACACTGCAATTCAGCTATCAAGTCAGCATATTTATTCCAAGTGACTGAAAAATACATTTGTCCCAATAATGAATATAAAAATATGACAGTATCTCCTGACTACAGACACTTTTTGCAAAGAAGCCTACAGGTGAAACTCAAAAAATTAGAATATCGTGCAAAAGTTCATTTATTTCAGTAATGCAACTTAAAAGGTGAAACTAATATATGAGATAGACTCATCAAATGCAAAGCAAGATAGTTCAAGCTGTGATTTGTCATAAGTGTGATGATTATGGCTTACAGCAGGAGAGGACATCCTTGTTGATAAAGGGACTACTGTACTTGGGCAGTGACTACAGGGCTT